TATTTAAACAATGTTTAATCTCAGTTCATCCTTGAAATTGACAACAGAGCACTGGAACAAACACTAGAAAAAGATAAGTTCACCATAAACAACCGTGAAACCTAATTAAAGTTCTGTCTGCAAAGGGCAGTTATCTTACAAGGACAAAATATACAATTTGTTCTTACAGACTATTTTTAACACAAGCAGCCAATTTAACTGTAACAGCCTACTCTGTAGCACAAGGTTAAACATAGGTAGTTACAACAAATGATCCTCTGACTCTTCCAGAGTTATGTGATGCTTTAATCCACATGTACTGTATGTGTAAATACATTAGTTTTCATTAATATTCATGTAAAAGCTACTTTTTTCTTGGTTGTGATAGGAATGTGACCAAGGATCTTCGAGGAACAGAAGCAGGCACGTCCTCCGCCTCCCATCTTCGGACAGTGGAGCTTGTCCAGAACTGGTCCAGTCAGAACCGTGTGTTCTCAACAGTACCTGCTTCACTTACCAGTACATTGTGTCAGGTAGGAGGATGTGCACTGACTGAGCAGAGGTGGTTGTTGAGTGAAACATGGCAGCACTGCTTTGATGAATATGCTTACAGAGCTCATTTAAAGAGGGACTATATATGCAGTATTGTTTTTAAAAGCATTATTTTTTTTCCTCATGTGCGTCTGGAGACTTAGATTATATCAGAAAAGTCAATTCTCCCATTTTCTTCCCTTCCCTTTCTCTATACATCATAGAGTGTGAATAAATCATTCAGGTTTTTGGCCCCTTGTGACTCCTAAACAAGATAAGAGCTGCCTGGTTGAACAGCCTCGTCTTGTCTCGCCTCTTAAATTCCAAATGAGAAGCTACCTGGTAGTCCGTCTTTATTATGTCTTCAGTGAAGCCACCTGGGCTTACTAAAACTTTAATTTTGTCAGATACAAGCAAATGCTGTTTTGTTAGCTTCAACTGCCATTTCCACCTTTTATTTAAACTGGGGATAACCATTTTTTTAAACTTAAAAGTGCTTACATTTAAGTGCCTGTCAATGCCAAGAACTGTCATGCCTGACATGGAAAGTGATAAAAAAAAATACTAATAGGAAACAGGAAGATAAAAAAAGAAAACAATGTAATGCACAGTGGGCCTTCCATACAGCTTTGATTAACCAGAACACCTCCACAGGCGAGAAGAGCACCCTTTGCAGTCCAAAAGTTACGGAACCCACGAGGGTACAGGCAAAATGTTTTGCATTCCCATGCAAAAGTTTGTTTTGAATGAACTGATTTAAATCAGACTTTTATTTTGAAATATCCAGTCACCAAAACACGATGCATCGCCACATGTTTGGCAAATTGATCTTGATATTGCGTGACTGCACTGAGTTAAAATATCGGCATATTACATACTTCCATGCGTACCTGTGCGATATATTATATATCATTCTGAAGCAGAATTAAAGTAGTAGGCTAACTCGCTAATGGTGAACATATGGATTTGTTAATAAACTATCAAGCACAACATGATAAACAACTTTTGCGAGGGAATGCAAAACATATAGCGAGGTAACGCAAAAGGAAAAAAAATCCCCTATGCCCCCTAGTGGGCTCCGTTAGAAGTGACTTGATGATCATTGCATTACCTTCTTTGTAGTTTATTTGTTTTTTAATAGACCAGGGTTTGTTTCTTAAGAAATATATTTGAATTAGACATTTCAAAGAAAAAAAAACTCTGTCTCAGAGTTATCTAAGTGTTTAATTGCATTTTTCCTCCCTACACACAACTCACAGTGAGTAAAATAAATTATAAAAAAATAGACCAAAAGAGTTTCCATCAATACTTTTACTAAAAGATTGAAAGAAGAATATAACAGAGTAAGAAGGCAGAATAAAAGAACAATTCATAGTCAGTTGCCAGTCTGTGCGCATGTACCCATCATGGCAGTGCAGATAAACATAAGAGAAAGAAAAACATTGTGTTTTATGTTTGTGAGACTAACAGAAGCTTCATAACACAATCTGAAAGCAGCAAGACATTCCAATATGAAATGTGTTTTTGTGTTATATTTGATAAAGGATTTTTTTCCATCACCCAAAAATATTTATTCAATTCTTTAAAAGAGGTAATGCTAAAGTATGTCAGTTTTAGTAAATTTACTTTGTAGGTTTTACGTTTTTCTTTCCTGTTTTTTTCCCTTTGGGGGTAAAGTCACACATTTTGAACAAATGTTCAGAAACGTGGTTGCTTGATTCCATCCTGCTGTCAGAATATTGACTATCAGTTTGCAGACATACAGTATGTGTGCTCATCTTATTGTGACTTCCTTAAACTACTGGATGCTGTCGGCCACAGGGATTTGTATTTTATTACTGCGCACCAGATTTGCACCTGACTTAGAGAGTTTGTTTTTTTAAATTTATTCAGAACTGGGCTGAGATAGTATTTTTTTTCCTTTGCTGCCATTCCTCTTATGGAACGAGTTAGAGCACGGTTTGAGATTTAAAAATAAATTAAATTATTTTATTCAGATAAAATTCTTTGTAACAGATGCATATATTTACTGCAGAGATCTAAAAACATATCTGTCCTAATTAATACAATTCTTATGTACTTTAAGCAATTATCTATTTGAAACTTTGGTTGAGCTTTGACTCTTCTCCAAAACAATCACAGTCTGACCTGACCTGACCCGTCAGTTTCTTTGGTGATAAACAGTGAAGTGAGAAGCAGGTGCTGTCCATATTTATCTGGCTGTGGAATGCAAAAAATAGCCACAAGTAAAGAACTGTGCGAATACCTTAAATGAGATTTAAAAAATAAAAGCATGGACTAGAAATTGGGCGTTTTAAATAGTTTTGCATTGACACTGATTTACGTTTATGTTGCATATCCATCATCTGCAAAATGTTATGCATAGAACAGTTCCAAGTTTACTGAGCACAATTTCTGTTTGTGCATCCGTTCTTCTGGTGTTCAGGCATAGTCAGAGTTGAATTTTGAGATCCTCTCTCTCTCTCTCTCTCTGATCAGGCTAGGGTCAGAGCACAGCTGCCCTTGTTGCGAGGCAACACTGTAAATTACATTAGGGCCAAACAGATAACGCCCCGTGGGTTTATATTAGGGCCGAGGGCCACTAAACCTGCCCTCTACATTGCCACAGGGTTTTATAACATTGAATGTGAGCTCACATAAGGTGTCATACATTAAATCTTTAAAACGTTTTTTTTTTTTCTGTTCAGCTTTAGGCTCCAGTTGAGCTCTTCGCACAGGTCACACCAGAGGGAAGGACGGATTAGAATGGTTTGATGTCTGTAGAAACAGTGGCCTTTTCGGGGTGGCGTGTATCCACCTGCTGGTGTGCCACGAAATGAAAAAAAAACCAGTGGCTTCAGCTGTGATCATAAACATGTTCGCATAATCTGACAAAAGGATTCTGCAATCCTTTGTGACTACTTTTTTATTAATTTAATTATTTTTTTGTTTTACAACAGATCCCGTGAGAACAGCAGCTTTCTTTTTGTGTTTTGCTCTGAAGTGTGGTGGAAAACAGCTTTTAGACAAAGCTCCAACACTATAAAGCAGAAAGGATGATCAGCTGCTGGGGAAAAGTGAGGATTAATACAGACGGACTGACCAGGATTGTWTAATCTGTCTGAGGCATGAAATACAATTTCTGTTTCAATCGCTTTGTTATTTTTGGCCATACGTGGAGGTTGACATTATGTGTGTGTCTGCAYAGTTGTGTGTCTTGTATGTTTTGTGTTGGTCCCACGTGCCCCTCTTCTTACTCAGAAGCCACTAAAAGCTTCCCGGTGACCCCCGAACAGAAAATAGGAATCCYGAAAATGGATGGATAAACTGATGGATGCTTTTGTCTGTGTCACAGTTTTCAACACTTTTCAATGAAACATTTTTATGTAATTTTACCTGCGAAAGGCTTTCCGGTCCCTCTTGAACAAAAAGAAAAAACTAATGCAGACACGATGTCGCTCTTGTTGTAGAATGGAGCACGTGCCAGCTGAGTGAAAACGCCATCTGTGGTCGAGGATCACGTTTGCGCCACCTGGACTGTGTACGCAGCGACGGCAAAGTGATGGAGTTGCACAAGTGCAAGCAGGTGAAAAGCACTAAAAAAATACTAAATCAGATGTTTTATGTGTGCACAGTGTTCCTATTGTGAATGTAAGTCACTTCTTTTTCTTATTCTAACATAAACAAAAAGGTAAAGCAGCTAATTTAGAATGTTTCGGTGCAACGTTTGTCCTGCCAGTTTGTGTTTTGTGCTGGGAATTTACAGCCCAAGCATTTCATACATTAGCTTTAAAACAAACAAAAACACAGTTTATGATGGATTAAAATGTGCAGTAATATTATTTTCATGAAGTGAATCCAACTCCAGAGAGCCAGCTACACTTTAYTCTAAAAGAAGGCTTAATTTAGCTTTTTTTCAAATAAAGAGATATTGATGGTTCACGCAGCGCTGCAGCTCCAGCTYTTCTCCCATACTTTATACATTATTGAAAGCCCGGTTGTCTTATGCGCTTGAGTGTAAACGCTGCTTCTAATCTCCAAACCGATGTTTCATGAGCCAGTTTGCCACTAGGTCAACAGAGCTTAATGGTATTGTCTTATCTCAATTGCACAGAGACAAATGGTTGTCTTGAGGATGCTGCAATGATGGTGGAAGCGGGGGCCCTTTTTTTCACTAAACACTTTCTTTGTTCTGCACTTAAAATAGTTCTCACTTGCACTCCAAATCGTGTTGCATTAACGGTTTGATCAAGTTAAACTGTTTAACGTTCATTTCCTCTCGCTAAGTTTGGCTGTGTCAAGAATTCAAATGAGAAATATGAATTCTAGTTGTACAATGTATTAAAGCTCGGTAACAATTGAAAGCTTCATTAATGGTAATCTTATTCAGCGGCTGTATCTCTCCGCCATCCTGAAATGAAGTGAAGCTCATTTAAAACATGAGAATGTAGCTGTTCCCTCTTTTTTTTTCCTGTTTTTTTACTGGAAATAATTAGTAGGCCTTCCACTCAGCTCCGTTCTCGTTTCCCACAGTTTGGTTTGATCAACACGTTGCAGCTGTTGGAGAGCTGTGTGGTCGACTGTCCTGTCAGCTGTATGCTGTCTGACTGGTCGCCGTGGGCGGACTGCTCGCACACCTGCGGGAGCCGAGGTAAACACTACGATCAAACTTAAACCCTATAGGTACAACGCTGAGCAGACACACTAAGGACCACATATTTAGCGCCTCATTATTCCATCGACTCAAGCGTTCATCAACATGTTGAGTTGTGGATGAATACATTTAAATGCATTAAAATATTTACAAGCTTGTGCAATCCTCAGCCTTATTACACAGAAAAACTGTCCTCTGTGTGTTTTTAATACTGTTTATAATAATGTTCCCAGTTTGATTTTAATGTGTGAATGTTTTGTTTTATTTAGTTTTTTTTTAACTTGTGAAAACTTCTTAAGAGTGAGACTTAATTACGATTAAATTCCATGCTACCCACCTGTATGGATGGATGCCATAAATTATTTAACGCGCTTACATATGCATGATTGGTAAAAATGCATTCAGTATCACCAACCTGTGGCTTGCTTTGCATCACTTTGAGAAAGTCACGTCACAACCTCATGCAATATACAAAAGTTAATGATTTAACCTGGATCCATATGTTGTTCCCTTGGCTTCCCAAAGCCACTCTCTGAAAGAGAAAAGCTTGTTATCCTGCTAATTAGAAAGCTCGGCTCTGTCTCTTCAAGTTCATTAATTTTAATTTGTCGYTGGCTGTCTGTCAACTCGAACCTAACCCCTCACTACTTTTCGCTCGCACTCGGCTTTCAGCTGAGAATTCCGACTCGAGCCTGTTTCGGTGTGTCTCGCAGCTCCGTTACGACTCTTTCTGCCACTTTCTCAGTTCCTTGTGACGCCTAGTCAAACACATCTTTCAGCCTTGATGAGGGATTTGTGTCGTATCTGTGTCAGACGACGCAAAGATCTCGTTTTGTCAGGTTACCATGGGAGTGTTAATGTTTTGGGTTTGAATTTTTTTTTTTTAGAAGGCAGCATGAAGCTGCTTTTTGCTGTGTCTGCCTGCGGCTTACAGAGCTCAGCATCTCTCCTTGCAAAACGCACACATTCAATCACAACTTCTCTTTATTGGATGGCCAACTGAGGTTATTTCTATACTGATCCTCAGTGGACCCTGCATACTAAGAAATCAGCATTCAGAAATAGTCTTAAAGTGGTGCAGATGCTTTGTTCCTGCAGCTATACCTTAGTCGGATACAACCACTGCACCACGAGACTTTGTACATTTTTTTCATCTTCTTGCCTGAACCCTTAAAAGAACTTCTGTGCTTCTCTGGAGACAAAAAAAAAGTTTTTTTATGTTCTTTTACATCTATTGGGAACAATATATGCTCACACCTGCAGTCAATGTTGAATCAGTGTTGTGCCAGTTTGCTCTCCACGAGAACTAGCTCAGTTTGCTTCRTACAGATTAAACCTGAAATAATTCATGTTTATTTTTCACCACTTACAGATTCTGAATTATATTCACAATTTCAAACTGAACTAGTTCACATTCATTAATTAGTGTTTAATTAGATGACGTTTCCCACAATGAGTTGCTRCGTGTGAGAAGCAATGCCTCATGGAAACTGTGATGGGCCTTACACCGTATACTAAAATAACACCTGTGTGATGATTACATGAACATAAAAAAAACTGTGCGAGAGAACGTTGGAGGTGTCTTGATTTTGTGAGTTTTGTGGTGTTTCAGTAGATTTATATTCTGTCCCTTATGTTGTTGTTCTTCAGTTGGTTCTTCTGTGTTGCTGATTGTCCCGGTTGCAGCTCAGATCTTCACACCTGCTCACATCAGCTAATCAACCCAGCTGTTTGCACTCCTCCCTGGTTAAACACGCATTAGTTGTATTCAGTGTTGTATTAAGTACCTCAAAGTGATACTTGAGGAAACATACAGGTATCTTACCATTAAATTACTTTCGTAAAAGCAGTGTTGGGATGTAACTAAGTACAAGTACTTTGTTGCTGTACTTAAGTACATTTTTCATGTATCTGTACTTTACTTAAGTAGATTTCATCATGGGTACTTTTGACTTTTACTCCACTATATTTAACATTAAGTATCTGTACTTTCTACTCCACTACATTTCTGTAATGCGTTGGATTACAAATTACACTCACATCACGTAGCGTTGCCTTTTTTTTTCTGTTTAGTTTGAAAGTAATCAGTGGCGAGAGGGGGATTTCTGTAATTGGTCCATTGAAGCACTGCAAAGCAGAAAAGTACCATTAGACCCTCCTTCAAAAAAAAAAAGGCGGAGCGATTCTGCATCACCTGGAGCATCCGCAGCAGCATCATACCCACAATGGATTCCACAAAGGAGGAAATGTGCCACTTATGGCCTTATTTATTCAAGTCAACTGGTTCAAAAAACAACTTGTTGAGATTTGATAAAGGACGATGGTGGCAAATTTAAAGCTTCTATAGCTGTTGACACAATCTGTGATGATGCACAGAATCACACCAAGTGTGAACAGTGTCACAGAGGGTAAACACAAACTGCAGCACCGTTCACTAAAAATCGCACACCATTGATGTGTTGGAAAAATATGTGTTGTTCAAAATGGTGTGTCCGAATAAACAGAATTCAGCTGGGTTTCTTCTTCAGAACTTTATTTTCAATCTTCTGACTCCAATCAGGTACATTCAACGCTCAGCAGCACAGGCCTCAGCGTACAACCTTGAGCTGATATCAGGAAAACCCAAACACAGCAGCGCAACTCTGTTCAGAAGCAGAGACTCTAACACCCTGACAACCTTCCTCTACTATCATAATGAATTGGCCTTATAATGTACATCTCTTCCTGGTTACACCCCAGGAGGTGTTACCTTTTATGTCAGACGTCAGAAAGTACTCAGTTTTGTTTAGGCTAAGAACACAAGACACACACCAACTCTTTGTCAGCTTCAGCCTTACAGACTGAAATGATCAGAAAGTATAAAATACAAAACTGAATCTAATATTCAATTAATCAGTTACAAAATTTCTTCATTATTTACTTATTTAAAATATACATACTGTAGGCACACTTCATAATATTGTAGACCATTAGGGAATACATTAAGCAAGTACTTTTACTTTTAATACTTTAAGTACTTTTAAAAGCAAGTACTTACTTTTACTCAAGTAAAAATGTTGATGTGGTACTTTCACTAGAGTATATTGTTGTCTGTTTATTTGTACTTTTACTTAAGTACAGTGTCTTAGTACTTTTTCCACAACTGCATAAAAGTTAACGTCTCTTCTAAGAATATTACTTGAGTAAAAGCCTTAAAGTATCTGATATTTGTTGTACTCAAGTATCAAAAGTAAATTTCTGGCATAACACATACTTAAATATTAAAAGTAAAAGTACTGTGTAAAAATGAGTGGTTTCCAAAACGAAATTTATTGGCAGATGACCTCCCCAAAACAACATTTTTTTTCTAAAGGTGTGCAGCTGGATTGTGTACAAACTTGTGAGAATGGTATCACATCCAACCACAATTAAATTCACTCCATCCAAGAGGTGCATGTTATCAGGATAGTATTTTTTTTTACAATAATGAGCCAGAATGAAATAGGAAAAATGACTTTCTACTTCTAACCTTTTTTAAATAATGTAAGGAGTAGAGAGTAAAGATAATTGTGTAAAAATATAAGGAGTAGACATAAAAAGTAGGCTGAGAAATAACTACTCAAGTAAATTACAGATAACCAAAAATTCAACTTAAGAACAGTAACAAAGTTTTTGTATTCAGTTACTTTACAACTCTATGTTGTAGTTTTCTGTTAGCTTCTGCTGTACTTGCTTGTATTGGTTTTACTGCCACGTCATTTTAGCCTCTGTTCCTATACGTCTTTGGATCTTTTCAATACAGCCAAACTTGACTCAAAGTTTTTCAAGCAGGCATGTCCAGTCCTGATCCTCAAGGACTGCTATCCTGCATGTTTTACTTGTTTTCCTGCTCCAGTACGCCTGACTCAGTCACTGAATTACTTCTTCAATTTCTACAGAAGCCTGTTAATCAGCTATTCAGTCAAATTAAATGGGTTGGAGCAAAGAAATGTCTAAAACATGAACGATAACTGCCAGCCTGTTTTAAAACCACCAGATACAGCTCAWATTACACGGATGCAACCAGGGTCACCTTGCACCCATGCACCATTAATAACTTTAAATGAGGACCAAGTACTTATGATTTGACCTGATCAGGAGTTTGGTGTGCCTCCCATTGATTTCTATTTCAAACCTTAAACAGCTGTCAAGTGCCGATGGGAGATTAAGATTCATGAATGACGCTGCATCACATTTTTAGGTAACCTGAAATGTATGATTTAACCAGTGGGAGGAGGCTTGAGTAGTTGGATACATCAACCCCCCCCCCCCCCCCCCCCCCCCCAAAAAAAAAAAAACGAACTAAATTAAAACACAGATTTTTCTGTGTGCATGCTGCACTTCAATGTTAGATTCTTATGACTCCACAACCATGTACCTATTTTTATTTATTATTATTTTTATTTATATGTCAGAGGTATTGTTTCTGAGCCTAAAGTGGCACAGTGAGTTGAACAGTACAGTGAATTGTGCAACAGTGAGAAGTGGGAGAAACATTTCACAGAATTTGAAGAAGCCTGCCTTTGTTTCCTAATATAAATTAATTATTTACACACATTTTTTCACAACTTTTACTTTATGCACCCTTTCTTGTTTGTGCACTGATGCGTTCATGTTTCCAACAGTGTCTTGCACGGAGTTTCGCCCGCATTGTATTCTTCTTTTAGCGCTGCAGCAATTTGTCATGCTAACAGTGGGATTGCAAATGTCACTTTAGTTGAGTTTCACAGATGCAGGCAAAGGAAGTATTTAATTTTAAAAAAGTAGGCTGCCGCTTGCAGATGTTCTCCAGTCTGTCTAACCCTTCTTCAAAATGGTGTTGGGGGCCTTGATCTAATGTAGGTCAGTCGGAGCGCAGCCGGAGAATCCTGCAGGAGGCTCACGAGGAGGGTCAACCCTGTCCCAACCAGCTCAGCCAGACCAAACCATGTCCCATAAGGCCTTGCTATATGTGGTTACTGAGCAACTGGTCTCCGTGCACCGTAGAGGTATGACCTATTTTGAAAATTAAATTATATGATGTTGTATATTTTTTTGTCTTGTTTTATTCCAATAAAGTTTTCAGTCCTGTGTGGGCTGTCTGGCATGCACTGCTTTTTAGAGGCCTGGCAAAGTTTCAGATATTTCTTTGGCTGCAGACTCTGGGGACCTTATCAAAACCTGCAGTCCATCTTTATATAATGTAAAATCTCTTTGAATAATCTTAGAGGAAATATGAAAACCAATTAAACTAAACTTGAAAAAATAAGTACCTTGTACTGATAAGTTGTAATTTGGAAGCGGTTTGGTTTATAAAAAAAATAAACAGATTTACTCATGACTTAGTATTCACTGCTCATTTTGCAACCACATTACTTGAAACCGTTGTTCTCAGCTGGTTTAAACTGTTTGGGTTTACATAAATTGCTTTCTTTACGGCACCATTCAATTAACAACATAAAATAATAAACCCAAGAGAATTCAAAGATTCAAAGCTCAAAATATCAACAACTGAACACTGGCTGAGGATGGTTTTGGTACAAAATAAAAAAAAGGAAATTTGCATTTAGTTAAAATACACATTTAACTGTGTGTTGTTTGTTTCACAATTTAACAAAGAAATCAATTTCTGAGCAGCAATTTAAAATGTGAAATGCTTTGCATCCTCAATGCGAAAGGTAAACTATAACAAATGGAGTCTAGTAGATATTGAACTTGTTTTCTTTTTTGCTTAAGTAAAAACATCTAATCAGCTTACTACGTTGCAACAGCTGCTTATCTTAAAGCATGCAGACTTGGTAAACACGACCTGCTGAAGGTCAAACCAAGTCTCTGAATAGAGAAGCAAGGCGGTTTAAATGAAATGTTTATGGTATGGTTGCTGATGTCCAAAGTGTCGGGCTTAATCTAAACAACGGATGTGCCAAGAAATGCATGTCGAGCTAATTAAAGTTGACAGAAAATGGTTTAATGGCCGGGGAAAAATATGGTGATTGTTAGTTTTTTTTTTGTTAGTTTTTTTTTTTGTCTTTTATTTTGTGAAGATTGTAGGGGTGTTGTGAGATGTGTAGGTGTTTGGAACCAAATGCAAGAGAGTTGATTGAGGAGAGAACTTGAAACCTTAAATCTCAATTAAAGTCAAAAAGGAGGAATTTGGCAAATAACAATATGAAAAAGAAAAAAAGTAGTGCGCACAACTGTCACAAAAATGGGATAACCAGTACTCCAAAAAATATCAGCATGTTTTAATAATGGCAGAAAATAAAAAAAAATAATATGAGCAAAACAAACAGGAACTAGCAGGAGAATCTTTAATCAACCAAAGAGGAAAGCACTGAGTGACCACAGGTGTTCTGAGTATGAATGAGTGACGTGAGGAGCAAAAACAAGAACATCAGAGGATAAAAGGAGAACATAAAATCATCTAAACAATCTATCTCAACTTTAAAATGAAACTGGATCAATTAAATTAAAGATTAATATAAAACTAAACACAACACAGACGATGACAACAGATCAGAGAGTGACCAGATTGGCTTCAGGGGATAGAAAGGCACCAGTAAGCTGAACGACCCTTCCTTTCTTTTCTTTTCTTTTTTTTTTTGCACAACTGAGGTATGCAGATGAGCCTCTGAGAGCACAACATCAGAAACCTTGAGTTTTGCAGCCTAAAGCAGCAGAAGACCTCGTGCTGTGATCTCTGTTCAGAATCCATCCAACCCTAAAACTGAACATCATCACAGCGCGTTCTGTTCATTTGGTTTATCTTTGTAAATATAGACACAGTTTAGCTCTCTGCAGCTACTGTCTCTGTTGTATTTGATGGAACTTTTGTTTTCTCAGTCTGGTTCCATTTAAACAMAAAACAGCACCATTGATAAAGTGACATTTAACAGTACTTATTTTAATGTAAAGCAGACATTGGTTCATATTTGGAATTGTAATTTTAATGTATTTTAAGGACTTTTTTTAGTTTCCAAAAAAAAGTTGTTTCAAGCCAGGTGTTTAAAATATATTATTTGGACATTTCTGATTTTTTTTTCCTTGGATGCAATATGCTCAGTAAAAATCCCCACCACCTCCAGTCTGAAAAATCATCTTCAGTCATAGAAGGGTTTTGATTTGCCTTTGCAGCAGTCCCTCGACAGTTCTCTTTGAAAGTTTTCTTGGACTTGCAGACCTCGACTTGACCTCTGTGGTTCTTGTCGTTACTTGAATACATTATAAGCCAAATTGAGAATATAGCTGCTTGAAAACACTTTGCTATCTCCTTTGAGCCTCCGCCTGCTTTGAGGGCACCARTTAATTTAACTTCATTGCTACAAAGCTGCTTATAGAAGGTCTGAGCTGCTGATTGTTGTAAAAATACTACAGTATTTTTGATAAGTTGGTAGTAAATTTTGAATTTATTTAGTCATAGACTTTGGCAGAATGTTTTATTTCTTAAATTCGAATCAACAAATAAAAATAAAAACGTATCAAAATATAGATGTATTGCTTTTTGAATTTAAATAGTTTATTTGTTAAGTTATTCAGACCCAGAAAAAAGACATGAAGATGTCACATCTAAGCTTTTAAATTAAAGTAAGCTCACCATGAGTTTTAACTTCACACCAGTTCAACAATTCCTAATTGGCGTATTTTTTTGTGAAAATTGAGGAGAAAGTTGTTACTTTTTAGTAGAGTTTCTGTTTTCTGTTGTCATTTTTAGGTTGTCCCTGAAGTATTAGCAAATGTGCAAATGGTTTCAGACTTTTTCAATAAGTTGCAGACAGGAAATAAACTAAAAAAAAAACAAGATTGTCAAAAAAAAAGATTTTCAAAAACTAAAATAAATAAGAAAATAAAATAACTAGTAGAGATAAACTACTAAACTTGCTGTAACAAATGCTTAATGTGGCAAAAAATACATTCAAACGCACATCAGTTGTCAAAAAAAAGTTAGCTGTTTAAAACGGTAGAGAAAAAAAGCCACAACAGAGACATTTTAGGATGGGTAAAGAAATAATGTGTTTTCATTTATGTAGAGTGCAAAGTGTGGCGAGGGGCTGCGGACGAGGAACCTGTCGTGCGTTGTCCACTGGGGGAACTGGCACGAGTCTCCTCCTCAGCCAGCGGAGACGGAGCTTTGTGGAGACGTGCGGAAGCAGCAGCTCCTTCAGAAGATGGAGCAGCCATGCTTTGTGCCCTGTCCAGGTAAAGCTGCAGTCAGATTTATTACAATTCCCACCTTTCAATATGCTGTATTTTGATTATAAGATCATCAGATTATAGCTTTTTAGTTGATTAAAAATAACTTTATGACAGGGAATTATACGTATATACAGTATATATCAGAACTGTTGACATTTATATCCAAATCTTTAATAAATTATTGAGTTTGTCTGACTCAACACTCAATCATCTTTTTTTTCTTTAGTCGCAAAGTATTTGCAGTTGTTAGTTAATATACTGTATTGTCCTCTCCCCCCACTGTTTGACATTTCCAACAGCTTAATAATTGCAAAATCAATAGCCTGTGCAACTGTACATGAGCTGGTTTGGCTTATCTGATGAGGAGAGAAAATTTTGTTTTCTTATAAATAATAAATAAATACATTGAAACGTCCGGACTAACAGGAGGGCCTTTGCTTCAGCAGTTAGTCTTGAGTAACTCAAAGACTGAGTTTGTGATCAATAACTCGACAGCACAAATGTTTTGTTTCCGACTCAATTATGTAATAACCTACAAACAAATAAAGCATGAAAAAAATTATTCTGTGCTAATTGAAACAATTACCAGATCACACTGCCTGCAGCAATCACCTTGTCTCTGGCAATCACTCCACTTATCGCAGGAACGGAATTAATGCCGATGGGAGTACTGCATGGGGAGAGCTGGTGTGAAAGTAATAAATTTTCATTAGAAAAAAGCATACTTCCATAAGTAGAAAACCGCTTTAAAATATGAGCGATTTTAAATGCATTTACAGGTTTTTTTTTTGCAAAGTTTGGATGAGAAGAAGACATAAACAATAAAAATTAATATTTTGTTTGTTTGATTCAGTAATATTTCCCCAATCTTGTTTTAAAGTCAAATACTTAGTTTAAATAGTGATCTTAAAAAGTACATGCCCTTCATCATCATCATCATCATCATCATCATCATCATCATTCTCATCATCATCATCAAGTGCATTTAAAGCAGCAAAGTTTCAGACTACTTCTGTTATAACTAAGACAGCTTCAGTCACTCCAAAACAAAGCAATAACATGCACTGATAAGCATTCATCGAGGTCAGCCATCTTGAATTGGATTGGCTCTGAACAGTAATTAGTTGTTGCGAAGGGTTATTTTCTGGGAGTTTCATTAAAATCACTGGTTTATGAGATATTTTGCTAACACTGCAGACAATTAAACACCTGAAACAGACAAAAATCATTTTTACCACTTCACCTTTCGTTCCACCGACAGGAGTTCTCCAATAACTGTAAAACCATAACTTACTGTAGCTTTGCATAGAACACATTTATGTTTTAGTTTATCATTTTTTATGAGATAATCAACCTTATCATTTTTAGAATCACCATAGAAACAAGCAGACAGTACGGCGCCATGAAATGACACCACTAGGTGCTAGTTTGATGTTTTTATTTATTCTTTGAGCCACAAAATGAGTGTTGGATTTTCTCTGAGTGAGGAAGCTGCTGGCAGTTTCCCTGCTTCACCGTCAGCCTTTAAAATGAAGCTTTACTCTGTGTTTGCTCACGGCAGCCGCTCAGGTTACACGGGTTTTAGTGGCTCTGAATGTTTGTCATTTTATTCAGATTTATTTTTAAAGCACAATTATTGTTTGATGAAAAGACTACTCGGCTCTTCCCGTTCATGGCTATTGCCTCGTGAAGCCTTTTGTCAGCCTCTGCTATGAAGAGTAAGTGGTTGCCTCTGCTCGTCTCTCTCTCCCCTCTGATCCTCTGCTTGATTCATCACTCAATCCGCCGATGCAGCGAGTCTTGGCTCGGGATCAGGAGCGTTTGATGCCAAGAGCAGACGTGAGTGTGTGTGTCTGTCAGTGTGAGGGTGGCAGGTACTGTGTAGGGGCCAGCGGAGGCGTTGTCGACATACGTGTGAGATATAACACACATGTAGCTCGATGCTGTTCAATGCAGGTTTTGCCACAGCGTGTTTCCACACTTGAAGCAGCGAGAGGGAGGAGCTGATAGTGTATTCTTATAAAGATGAAAGATAATGAGATGCCTCTGTCTGCAGATAGGCACTAATGGATGTTCAAGGCAGAGAATCAGAGGTTTGCACTGGCTGAGATGTGGCGTTGGGTGATTTTATCTCTACAGGATAAGCCTTCCAAGCAGCACAAAGGATATTTGTGTTTGACATTCAGGAAAGTAAAATACTTGTGTCCTTTGTTGACACAGAAAATATCAACCAGTCGTTGTAAGCTGAATTTTTTTTTTTCTCCTGAAACCCATTGCTATGGCACTCCTAAGGARACTTTGGAAAAAAAAGAACAAAATAATAAATAAAACAGGTTTCTTGTGAGTGTGAGAAACTGGAAACACTCTTGCATGCATGCAGTATTTTCACCCACTTTGGATGTTATCATCCATTAAATGGACGATATTAGCCGTTATCAGTCCCATGGAATGGCTTCAGACTGTCAGCTGGTTAATATGAGGCATAAAGCCACTAAGGTTAGTTTTAGAGAAAATGACATGGGATACGATAAAGTAGACAGGGGGCACTGTCGGGACAGTCTGAAGCCATTCAATGGGACTGATTACCACTAACAACGTCCATTTAATGGACTGATAACATTCAAACCAGCTGGAATTATCTGCACACACCAGATATTTATCTTGTGTGTTCAAAGAACATTTTTATCCCTGATTAAGCCATTCAAAAATTCAATGTACATAGATTAAAACTCAACTGTCCTTGAAGGAATACTGTATGTGTCACCAGTCACTTTTTATGCCGGTGTTTTACACCAAGATCAGCTTATGTTCAGAAACAAAGTTAAGGCCATTTTGTTTAAACCTTAAAAATAACAATTAACCAATAAATGTTATGGAATATTACTTATCAAATTGTAGTTTAGTATGAGTGACATTCATTACAGTATAGCCATTTTTGTTTAGACTTCATGAAATTTTCATTACAATCCATTCATTGGCTCATGAAATATAATTAAAACAAACAGATGCAGCTGATTCCAATAGATAATGACAAAATTTTAAACAGATTTAATCTGAGCAGAGTAAAATGTTGGGGATCAGTGACATCTAATAAAACACCAAWTTTTTGCCCAATATAAAATTGACTGAGTTATAGGCATTGTTTTTAAAGGTGCATTTACACCAGCCATTTAGTCCACTTTGATCAAGCTCTTGTTCGTTTGCCTGGAAAGTCCGGTTCATTTGGAGAAGTGTGAACTCGTAATCAAATTCTGATTCGGACCAGAAAAGCACACTCGGGTCCACCTGAAAATGTAGGTTTCAGTTGGGTTGAAGTGCTTCAATTGCATGTGTGAATGCCAAGCGGACCGTAGATCGCTCCAAAACCAGGAAGTGGACTCTAACGCAGGAAATTCTGAGTAATAACTAATAAAGTTACACAAGGTGCTGTCTCAGCCGCCTTGTGTGAAAAACCTTCTCCACAGTTCCATTGTTGAAGACTACTTGTTTGGCACATTTGCCTAAAATAAAAACATAAATCCTGCAACCGCTAAAATCTGACGTCACTCCATGTTTGATTACGTTTTATGAAGAAGGAAGTTGCTCCATGTTTTCTTCAGAGGTTTTTGTGTCGATTCCTTCAGTGGTTCTTGATGCAGCGCCACCACAGGCATTGGAGGGAACATTTCAGTCACAGGGTTTAGTTTGTTTGACAAAGTGCAGTGTGAATGTGAACCGCACCAACTGAAAATGTAAACAAATCTTGCAATTTTGGTCCCCAATCGAACCGAGTCTACCAGACTATCAGGTGTGAGACTGCTTTGCTCTTTGTCTGGAGTTTAGTTGTTCTAACAGTTAATCAGATATATTTTGCACATGAGGCATTTCTGCATTAGAACAACAATGGTGTCTGTTTCCAGCAGTTGTGCGAGAGCTGTGATAGATGTTTTACTTATTTTTGTTTGTTTTCTTCTGCTCTCAGGAGACTGCCATCTGACTGAATGGTCATCCTGGAGTTCCTGCCAGCTGACCTGCCTGGAGGGGCGGAGCTTTGAGTCCACCGGYCGTCAAACGCGGTCCCGAGCTGTGATCGTTCAGGCCACAGAGAATCAGGGCAGCTGCCCTCTTCAAGTCTTTGAGACTCAGCCCTGTGAAGGTATTTATTAATACATCTATCAACAGCCCTGCTTTATCCCTTTAGAACAGGATGCAAGTTATGATGAAATTATCCAATTCGGATACAAGTGTCTAAACTAGCATTCACCGTAGTGAACACTGGTGGTCATCACAGAGCAGGGAGGTATGCTCACGCTGTTTTGGGCATGAAATAAACAAGTAATGAAACGGCATGATTAATTTGAAATGTTATTTCTGAGATGAGGCTTTCCTCCAACAAAAGCTGGCTTCCTGGATGTTTACTTCATTTTTTTTTCTGTACACTTCTTAAATTTGCTTCCAGAAAAAGCTTAACCTGCTCATGATTCTGTGAGAACATGGATCAGCACACAAAAAAACTGAAACCTATCCTGGAGATGGATCAAAACAGCCAAAATCACCAAGGTTGATAAACGCTCAGTAAACTTTAGCTACGCTCATGAGGACTGCAAGAGAAAAATAAAAAAAATAGTTATTTCATCTGGTTGTCCTTGAAACTATATTACATCAGTTACCGATGTGTATCAGGGCACAGTTACCTTGGAAAATCATGAGAGAGTGGTGTTTGGATGTTGACAAAAAAGGATTATGATTTGAAGGTTGCGTTTAGATTTGATTTTTTTACACTGCCTAGTAAAAAGTAAAAGTCTAAATAATATTACAAACACTTTTTTGTAAATTGATCATCTGTAAGATTTTATTTTTCATTTCAGTTTCAGCATTAAAAGTATTCCAGTCACTTTTAAGCAGGCTTTGATTATTGCAGGCAAAGAGTGATGTGATAGATGTGTGAAGCAGAGAGAGATGCAGGGATGAGATATAATGATGAAAGAACCAAAATAGCTAAATTAGAAATCCTCTGTTTAAGTCAGTCACACGGGTTACTGGAGGTGGCACGGCATTTATAAATGATCCCATTTGATGAAAGGCTTAGGGTACATGTGTTCCCTTGTTTCTCTTGAAGCCTCCTCTGTCCTCGCTCATTTAAAAGAGACTGTAATATTCTCAAGGAAGCATAGCAGAGAATAGCTTTATGCTAGGATGATGGGGAAAGCTCTTAGTACGTGAGGAAAAAAAAGAAATGCACACTAGTATCTGGCAATTACTTGGCTTTTTATTGGGTTTTTGACAAGTTTTATTTAAATGGTAAGAATGGTAAGAGTTTATCCCCCAATATGCATTGGTTCTTTTGGGACTACACCATGATTAAATAAAAGGATATACAAACAAATTAATCAAGTAGTTAAATGCTCATCATTCCTTGAAGGAATTTATATCACCCACAGCATTTTATGCCAGAGGCCAAACAGTTGATATTAGTGATGGGAGAAATGGCTCTTTGAAGGGATCCGGATCTTGAGGAGCCGTTTGTTTCATAGAGCCGTTCAAAAGAGCTGTTCTAATTTGAAAGTGTTACATCATCAYGTAGGGAAATACCTCATCACGTCACCGTACGTGATGATGTCATCCCAATATGTGGGTGGAACCAATGCATTTTGTCAAGCGGAAACCCCCTCCTCATTTCCCTATGAGCTTCTGTACTCCACCACTCTGCCTGTTTTCCGTGAAAAAGCAAAGATGAATTAAGGATGAAAAAGAAATCAAGATTATATGAGGAATAAAAAAATAAAACTACAAATGGCTYGTTACCGCCCGCGACTCGGCTCCTATTGTTCGTTGTATAGAGGCGTTCAAAAGATTCGGATCATTCGTGAACGTCACATCTCTAGTTAATATCAGTATTTTAGGCACAAAGTTTTGCACTCAAAGAAAGTGTTGGAGACTATACAGTATTTTGCTGACAGAGTTGAATCTTTTGTGCYATTTCATTTTTACTGTCAAATTTCAGCTCATTGTGTTGAGACTTTACTAGTAGAAATCACATTTGTTTGTATTTTCTCTTCAAATCACTTTTCTCTGTACATTTTTCCCCACTCAGGAAAAAAAAGAGCTTTGATTCCAATAACGTGTCCTTTTTTATTCACCTTTAACCAATTTCTCTTCTTCTATCCAAATGATTTTTTGTTACTTTTTTATTTTTTCCCTTGTCACTGCAATCATAAATTGTCTTACATTGTTTGGCAGTGCCGGGCTGGAAGAAATGGAGGTTACCACCCATAGAAGCTTGACAGCAGGTCGGGATGGTCAATACAAACTACTAATGAGCATTTTATCTGCCTGTCTGCCATTACTGCAGGAGGAAAATGCCACACTTACCAGTGGAAAACAGGAGGATGGAGCAACAATGAGAGGGCAGTGTGGTGTCAGCGTTCAGATGGAGTTAATGTCACAGGTGAACAGTTGCGGTGTCCTCTGGCCACTTTATGGATGGATTACACCTCCCAGGAACACAAACACGTACAGATTCCTCGATAAATCTGTCTTACAGCAGGCTGCAGCTCAAAGTGCACCTTTTCTCTTTTTGTCCTCATGAAGTTAGTCATTTCAAACAGTCCGGATCACGTGGCTATTCCCTGCAATATCTTACCATCCGATGGTTCAAACAGAAATGTATATTTGTTGCTGTGACGTTAAGTGAATCTCCTTTCATTTATCACTGAAAGCTGTCAAACTTCAGCAGAAGTGCTCGTAGCAGGTGGTTTGAAATTACATTTCCAAGAGATCTCCTTATTGGATCAGGAAATAATGGAAAATGCAACATTTGGAAAGATCTGACAGGGGTGAATGAAAAAGAAGTATCATCTTGAAAGTTTGCAGTATTATACTGTCAGCGGGTTGTGCTTCAACAGATATGATCTTTTTTAGATATAGCTGCACGCCTTCAGAGAAAAAAATCAAGATGAGATCGAGTAAAAATTTCACAGTGGAACCTACAACATATGAAATATACACATTTTGACACATGCATTCAAACAGAATGGTTTTAGTGTGGTTTTCTAGTTAAATCTGATACCCTTTTTATATGTCTGTCTATTCTCATCTCTATTTCTTTCCTGCAGCTTAACATAATAAATCAATAAAGCAGACAGAGCTGGGATGCTTTCAATCCTTATAAATATAATCATATATTTGTTGGAAGTAAAGCAGGCGCAGAGAATCAGAACAAAGATAAAAGTGCGGTGGGAATAAAAGCTTTAGGCAGGCTTGATGTGCTGTAAATAGTGGGCGAATGTGATCTTATCACTGTAAGGAAGTATTTTTGGCAAAAATGAATCCAGAAAGGGAGCAAAAAAAATCTCCTTCTGCAGAGGAGCCAGGAGCCCAAGGCATTACTCTTTGATATTTTGACATGCAATTTTCCATGTTGGAATTAAAATGTTCACCAATTGATCAGGGACCCTGATAGGCCTCTGGGTGCATTAATCAGGTGTGACAAGAATGTTCATTTACTGATCAATGAAAAAAAGGGGAACAAAAATGAGAACGTGTTGTCTTTTTTCTCCAGGGGGGTGTTTCCCGCAGAAAAGGCCCACAACTCTTCGACACTGCCATCCTCCGTGCACCAAACCGTTCTCACACTGCACGCCGGTAAGATTAACCCGCTTTGATGGGAGAGCGGCGCTTTCTGTTGTTCTCACGGTGCTTTTGTTGTTTCCTGCTCACACGCTAGGTCGGGAAGTGAAATGGGTTTTGACAGATGACATTTTTAATTTCCCACAACAGGCCATTAAAAGCTAATCAGATTAATACCAATGAGTGTGAACCCTTTGTCAGTTAGGGAGCACACCTGTGGGGTGATTTGGGAAGGGGACACTGAACAGAAGCAGAATGAAAATGAGAAATAACGGCTATAAGTTGACGTTCTACTGCCCCTCAGAGCACCCTCGCGTTACTACATTTAGAAATGCAAACCTATGATGTGTGAAGTAACAGTTGCAGACATCCTCTGCGGGGAGTAAATGATTTTCTTCCGGCCTTGCTGCCTCTTCAAACAGAGCGGAGTGTGTGGGTGTGAGAGAGGCTACACTGAAGTGATGACCTCGCACGGCTTTCTGGACTACTGCACGAGAACCCCAGGGGTGGACAACAGCAAGAAAGCCGACGTGAAAACCAACTCCGGGAGATTAAAACCCAGACCGTCTCAAGCCAACGACCTCTTCAGCGAGTGGACCTTACGACCTGTTGGCCCAGGTACTGAAACGGAAATCATGGGTACAGATCAAGAAGGCTGCGATTGCTGCCTTTGAAATTGCCTTTGTGCTGTAGCTCTAGAATCAATGGGCCAAAGGAAAAAGATCATTGGGGCAATGTTTTTACAGGGCTCATCATTATAGGCACTGGGGAAAAAATACTAAAACGGACCATAAAGCTGCCAGAAAATCTAGTGACTCGTTGGMTGTATTAAAATGAGATTAAACCTACTTCTTTATTCTAAAATGAGGATTATCCGGATATTTCATTCAGACAAATATTTAAAACTCTGAATTAAAGACATTTTTTTTGATGGTACAGATGGACGAGTGAAGTTGTGGGTTTACGCCGTGACTGTTGTCGGATTCATCGTGATACTCTTCATTATTGCATTATCGTTCCTGGTCTGGTAAGTTTGACAAAACTCTCTTCAGAATCCCCTCACCATGAACGTATTCACACCTGCACTGCTTAGTCCGATTTAATCAAACTCAAGTTCGTTTGCCTGGAAAGTCTGGTTCGTTTGTGGAGGTGTGAATGCGTAATCGAACTCTGATTCGGACCAAAAAAGCGAACTCTGGTCTGCCTGAAAACCTAAGTCTCGGTTCGATTGAAACGAACTCTGGTGCGGTTCGATTGCATGTGTGAATGCTAAGCGGAACAGAGACCGCTCCAAAAGCAGGAAGCGGATTATACTGCATGACATTCTGAGTAATAACAGTATTAAATTTACTTATTTGGTGTAAATACCTCGCTGGATGACTGTATAAGGTGGACATCATGACTGTGGAGCTGGACGCGCTCCTACTCGATTAACACGGAGCTTCCTCAGCCGACTTGTGTGCAAAACAACATTCTCCGTGGTTCCGCCTCATCTTCCTCTCATGCGCTCATTGTTGAAGGCTATTTGTTTAGCACATTTGCCGAAAACAAAAAAATAAACCCTATAACCACTAAAATGTAACGTTACTATTATTTGTATACATTTTGTGAAGAAGGAAGTTGTGCTCCATGTCTTCTTCTGAGGTTTTCATGTTGATTCCTTTAGTGGTTCTTGGTGCAGCGCCCCCACAGGTGAGGGCAGGAACAGGTTGTTGACAGGGTTTAGTTCAGTTGAGAAAGTGCAGTGTGAATTCAAACCGCACCAACAGAAAATGTAAACAAAGCTTGCAGTTTTGGTCCCCAATTGAACCGAGTCTACCGGACTATCAGGTGTGAATACGACCCATGTTTGGTTTACGAAGCAGCAGCCCCATTGTAGGTCACACACTTTCTATGAGAACAGAATACACATCAAGAGGCAGTGTGAGTTTCTTTCCTCGTTCGACTACGAGTTAGACCCCTCCACACATTTTAGACTGTTGTAGGCTGCTGTTATCAGTTAATAGAATTCCTTTTAAAGACTTGTATCATGTGAGCTGCCTTGTGCTACTGAGCCCTGTGCATTTTTTACTTTTCCTTTCTTCTTTCACTGTTTTTTTCTTTTCTTTTTCAGCAACCCGTATAAAACCACTAAGGCGTCCGCTCCACCACAGAAGCCCCTAACTCTTGCCTATGATGGTGACATGGATATGTAACCAAGCTGCTATACCTCATGAGGACGTGCTTGGCCTTGGACCAGAATCTGGCCGTGTTCTGATTGCATCCTGATCCGTTTAGGACGGGTTGTGGATATGAGCTGACTAWGATACAGTGTTTGCTGCTGAATGGTAACGTAGCGCCAAGTTTTGGCTGTACTGCCGACTCAAAGAAGCAGAACCAAAGCTGATCAAGGTGAGAGTGAGACATGGACCTTTAGTTTCTTTCTTCTTCTTCTTTTTTTTAAGAACTGCTTGCAACATGAACCCACAGTTGAAGAATTATTTGCAAACGACAAAACAGGAGGAACTCTGAAACAAAAGTGAATCTACAAGGGTTCATTTCAGAGATTTTTGTGTCAAGAATCAAAGGGACCACTTTCTTTTTTTGTTGCTTTTGTTTTGTTTTGTTTGAGTCTGGAGAAAGATAGAATTACCAGAGTCTGCAGTTGCTCAGAATTCAAAGGCCCTGCAACAAGAACCGTTGAATTTTTCTCATTAGTGCTGGATCCTCGTGAAAGGAAGTGTCACAAGCTCTTTGGATGAACTAAGCAGCACCCCCTTTTTTTCTTTATTCCTGAATAAAAAAGAGGGTTTATGCACTATGTTAGTGCTGATTCAGTTTTGTTGTTTCTTTCGGATGACTTTTCTAGTGTTTTATCTGTAATGCAAGTTTTTTGCTGTCTGATTGTGTATTGTTTGATGATGCAATATGTTGTGTATATGTGGGAACCAAAAGCAAGCCTGCCTTGAGTTTAAAGACRCCATGTTGCAGTCATTTCTCTTTCGTCACAAGACTCCCAGCCACAGAYGCCAAAATAAAGTAACATTTAAAAGAAAGAGATTCATTAAAACAAAGATGATTTTTTTTGTATAGTAGGGGGAGAAAAACAGTACACAAAGGCTATTAATGCAAACCAGCAACACAAAAATCATACCTCATTTACACTTTTTTCTTTTTTTCTTTCACAAAAATGCAAAACAAAACAACACTGATCATTAACACACACACACACACAGAAGGCTATAATGAATAGTTTATCCACTGGGTTCTTATGGTGTTTTAATAGAGCAAATAACTTCATTTGTATTACTTTCATCTCAAATTTTTTGTTTTTATTTCTTTTCTAGAGAGGCAATTCTGCAGCGTTTCCTCCTGCTGAAGGCAAAAGGGCAATAATGTGTTTATTTATTTATGTATTTATTAGCATTTTTTGTCATGTCTGTATGAGCGTGCACGTGGGGGTGTGGGGTTTGACCAACATCTTTCTCAAACACAAAATGGCCATGAGTCAGTTAAAACTCGGTGCGGTAGCAGCTGACAGATTCAAAATGCTCCAAGCTCCAACAGATCCTGCAAGTTCACATAAAACATTGCAACATCGCACAAATCTGGTTTGAGCAAACGTGCTATAACTCTGTCATCTTTTTTTAACCAATAAAGGAGTCCTTAACTCTGGCATAAAAGGCAGCGGGTGATATGCATTCCTTCAAGGAAGGCTTGRCTTTTAATTAAAATAAATTGAGTTGTTTTGTGCGTTACATCCAAGTAATACTGCAGCTGTCATGTCAGCTTTATAGATTTTTCTTTTGTCAAATGAAGAATGTCGAACTTGCTACACAAGATTTCAAATACCAAATACAGTATCTCTGAGCACATATGATTAATAGAACTGTTTTAAACTTTTCTTTTATCTTATTCAGCTCTAAATAGTTTCCTTTTTTATCACATTTTATATATTTTTTTTACTTAGTTTTCATTTAGACATGAATCCTTCATTTATTACTGATTTCAATCCAGTGGAAAGCTTAATTTCTTGTATTGGGTAATTTTGGTGCTTACCAGATTTTAAGCTGTTTCTCATTCTGCCTCCACAAACTGAAGATGTAAAGGTCACGTGTTTCCTGACCTCATCCTGAATGTATTTAATCAGTAACTCTATAATATTCATGGCTGTGTGCAAATACGGTTGTTTGTGACAACTATATTTCAGCAGCTGTCTGTATGTAGGCATGCTTGATCTTCTTTTTGGCAGAGAAAGCTCCAAGTGGCCTTGCAAAGACTCCGTTTCATAAGTTGCCAAACATTTTAGGATAGTTTCCCCCCTAGGCAGTGTTTCTAATATTTGGCCGGCACATGGTGAACGTTGGGTTTCAGAAACGATTCTAGAAGCGTTTGCAAGTCCTAGGTAACACCTTATCTGTTACCTAGTCACATTATAACACAAAGAGCAGCCATGTTCACGTTTCAGACAACTCTGTTGGATTACGTCCCAGAAATCTAAAGGTATTGTTCACCAACTGTTTACAGAACCATGCTATTTGTGTTACTATTGTGTGTACATGGAGAACTGRACAAAATGCAAATAAATTGTGAAAACCATGTGAAAATAAAGCCCRGTGTTTCTTCTTCTTCATTTACAGYCSTGCTAAAACCTTCCCCGGCTCCTTGACTTTCGGATCCTGATATATTATAATTACTGCAGGCTCCCAGGCAAAGCCCAAAACAGATAAGCAGTTGATAAGATTCATCTGGGYCTCCAGTCAGATTTCCAGTCCGATAGTCCCGGGATAATCGCGGACTGCGAGGAAAACGGAGTTTAAATCTTTGTCTCATCTAATTCATTTATTTAATACTGTCACTTTTGTTTCAGACAAGGTTGAATTAAAATGCTTGTGTCACGGCCATCTGATCCGTGGCAAAGATGTAGGCTGATCCTGTCATGTCCAATTCATCTCATTTGGCCATCTTTCAGGGCAAATTTGCAGGTTTTAGTGAAGATTTATGAACAGAGTGACAGTGCGAGTGCTTTGTTTTAATTTATTTAATTTGTCTATATAAGGAAGCTGGATCATTCCAATAAAATGTGGTTTGCTGAAGTTTGTTGGAGCACGGTGAAAATGCATTTCAAATGGAGTTGGAACCAGTCAGGATCTTTCAAATAAGCAACTATTTACGGTATGTTGTAAATTCAGGACATGTTAATCTACACTGTAATTACAGCAGTTTTATTATATAGTGTCACATAGCTCTTTGAATGACATCAATTTAATATAATTTTTTTTTAATTCTGACCAAATTGACAAGTTAAAGGCTGGTCCAGGGGTCTGCAACCTTTACGATCCAAGGAGCCATTTGTGCTCCTTGTCTCACTAATAAACAACAACAACAAATACGTGCTGCTTTGAACAAAGGTCAAGTAAGTGGTGCTGTATGTAGTGATTTTCGTAAAGCGTTTGACACAGTTGATCATTATACTCTCTTACAAAAGTTGATTTCTTTTCAACTTTCATCATCTGCAATACAAATGTTTTCCTCTTATTTGACTGATAGGTGTCAGGTTGTGAAACATGGAAGCTCTGTGTCCGGGTCTCTGCCCTGTTCCGTGGGAGTTCCGCAGGGTAGCATACTGGGCCCATTGCTTTTCCTATTATACATAAATGACCTTCCAAAAATATTGAAGTATTCAAATATTTTAATGTATGCTGATGATACTGTTCTTTTTTGTCTGATTTCTATATTGAATCTATTAATAGTCAGTTACAAGCAGATCTTCAGACATTTCATGTTTGGCTTCAAGATAATCTTTTGTAAAATTAATGTTAAAAAAACTGTGTGCATGTATTTTTCCTCACCCAGGAGAAATTTTAATATAACAAAACAATTCACTTTTTTAAACAAACCCCTTGATATTGTCACTACCTACAAATATCTTGGAATTACTTTGGATTCTCATTTGACTTATCGTGATCATGTACAAGTCTTAACCACTAAGTTGAAACAGAAATTATATGTTTATTTAAAAATTTGATCCAATCTGACATCTTCTGTTTCAAATATTTATCTTCATGCCATTATACTCTCAACCATGTTGTACTGTTTACCTGTTTGGTCTCTTACAACAAATGAAATCTTAGGCTCTACAACAGGGCCTACAAAATTCATGAAAAAAACTTCCTGGTTGGACTCATCACTGTACAGTTCTTTCATTGTCTGATGCCTTGACTTTTCAGAATCATGTTTTGTATAGTGGTATTAATTTATATTTTCAGATCTTCCAAGGTGTCAATTATGGAACTCTCTGTGCATTGCTGCCCAAATCAAATTCTGGAAGGGGTTATTCAACTAGATCTGTTACAAAAGGACAACTGATATTACCAACTTTTAAAAACTGTTACGGCCAGAGGTCTTTCTTCTATGTTAATACTAAAGCATGGAATGGCATTCCTCAAAACATAAAGTCCATTTCAAAACTACAGCCCTTTAAGAAGAATCTTGTCTGCCATCTGCTGGACACTTTTTGTTGTACTCATATTTAGATGTCCTATTTTGCAAATGCTGCCTTTTAGAAATTTGGTATGCTTGTTTGTCTTTGTGTCTGTGGTGTATAATGATGTGATTGTGATGCTGTAATTCTGAGTGTTTATGTGCTGCAGAACAGGAACCTGCTGTAAAACAGCAATTATGCTGAGTCAGGCTTGATTTTTAATAATCTTGTCCTGTTAAATTAATAAATCAAATCAAATCAATTTTCAAAGCKTCACTGCAGAGGGACCAAAGAGCCACATGTGGCCCCAGAGCCACAGGTTGCAGACCCCTGGGCTAGTCCATGTTGTACCAAATCATAAGCGGATTACTGACATCTAAAAAAAACAGCAGATTAAATAAATATATTATATAGTATAGTATTACATGAGGGAACTGTTTAGTTAACTTTTACATCACAACCAATTTTGCATTTTAAAATTATTTAAATAGAGGCTTATAAATATTTGCACTTCAAATAGCTGTAGCGTGTTGCAGCCTGGGGGCACTCCCAGCAGTAATATCATAATATTTAAGCAAGCTAAACCATTTTGCATTACAAAGCCTTTATACATATAGCATGTATTACTATGAAATTTGTAGAAGTGAAGTTATTTTAACATTGTTTCTGTAACAGGTCAAATATTAAATGCTCACAAGTTTTCCCACAAAACTCTACTTCCAATGGTTTAAACTATAACTATATATACAGACTTCTTAAAAATAATAATAATAAAAAAGGATGAAGACAGAGTAGAGAGCTAATCAAAAGTGAGCTTGAATCAGACACCGACCATTGGTTTCATATAGCACGTAATTACAATGGACGACCAAAGCTTTCAGAATATTAATGTTAAAGTCAAAGTTTGATTGCGTAGGACCCCTTAGTGGTTAGAAATAATCACTTATACTAAGCATTTTAGATGTTCTCACTTTCATTTATTCACCCATATCACATTTAAACACAGAAGGCTATTCATGACTTCTAAAAAGAAGTCTAGTCGGGAGTGAAAAAGAAGAGCAGATAAGAAATATTAACATGTGGTTTTAACAGAATTACACAGGAGATTACATGAGTGTGTGCCCATGTAATCATTTTGATAWTTTTTTAAGTTGTAGAATAAAACAAACCATTAGTGATCCAAATGATAAGACATCACTTCAAATAAATTTTAAATGAGTTGCTGAAAACTTTTTTCTCATCAAGACCTCACATTTAGCATGAGCTGTCCTAATTCTTAATGAAATGTGACAAATATAGAAGCACAACGGCTCTCATCGGCTCTTTAGCTGTAGCAGCTAAAGTACGAGGAGTTTAAGACCCACTGCTGAGAACAGCACTGAGCTCATTTTAATAATTAATGTTGAGAGATTCTGGGTTCAAAAATATGAACAACAAAAAGAATGTCATTTTACCGCAAGAAGCTGAAAAACTAACAAAACACAACATTTGACTCCATGTAAAACGCTGTAAAATCACCCGGTCAACATAATGGAAACAGTTGTATACAATAAGATGAAACCATAAATTGCTTTTAATGGCCATAAAGTTTACAAGCTAGCTGCTCCAGAAAAAATACAGAGCCTTGCAGTTTTTCCAATACCAGTAAAACCAGTATTGATTTTCCCATTATTTTTGTTTTGGCTAAAATGGCTGTCCTGTTACAGATGCCAAATGAAAACAAGAAGGTGATAGGGAAATTCTACATCTAAACAAGTTATTTTACAAAAAATAAATGGTTTTAATCTGAAATAAGCCCAACCTGAATAAAAGWTGTAAACTATTCTCTCAGTTCACACAGTCAGTATGTGAAATTAACTAAAAATGTGTTTGTTTATTTTTTTTGCTTTGAATGACTTACTGCATTTCTAAAGTCCAAGTTAAAAATAATAGATGCTAGTAAATCAACTCAATACAAATCTGTTTTATAGCTTTTCTCCTGTTAAATTCACTCGTTTGTGTTGGCCATTTTTTAATGGGTTGACTTCAAAAAGTAATCAGCTGTAGACGTTCGTACAATGATTACCAGGAGTTTCTTTACAATCTGTGCTCTGGTTCAAAAGATATTTTGCTATCGCTACAAAGTACTCACCCACACACATACACAAACAAAAAAATAAATAAAAATTCCATTTCTCCTTCAGCAGAGGGTGAAAACAATTGACTTACAGAGATGAGAGTATTGCCATTTTGAGTAGGTTAACATGCTCGTGTTTGGCTCAAATGCTAACAGTAATTACAGAGCTGTTGGGCGAAAACAGCTTTTGCTGAAGTGCGGCTTGGTGTGTGTGAGTGCCTGTGAAAAGGAATTAGAACGAGGAAAAGGTTATTTTACCACCTTCTAACGAACATCTGGCACAGAATTACACATAGTTAGTCAGACAAAAAAAATCTGTTTCATCAGAGGGAGTTCATTCCAATTATGTAAACCTTTATAGAAAAGTGCCAACTTTTCCACCCCGACTTTGTTTTTCTTCTGGTTTTATTAAAGTGTTCCTTTTGATATATTGTGTCCAGCGCTGTTAGGTCTGAGCGAGGCGAGGGAAGAGAGGTGGCACGTGGAGAACAGTGAGACCGGAGATACGATGGTGCAACCTGATGTAATTAATGAAATGTCTTTGAAGTTTAAGTCAACGTCGTGAACACTGACACAGCAGTTTTTTTAAATTATTTTTTGTAGCAAAAAGCAAAAAAGTATATATGTATCAAATACATTTGATTTTATCCAACTTGAACATCCAAGAGTCAATTATGGAAGCTATCAAAATTATTCAGGAGCAAATTAAAGGGACCATTTTGATTACATGTCACAGTTAAAGCCTAAATATATTCACTTTACTTTTATTTACTGATGGTGAAGAAATTTAGTTATTGATAGATTAGTACTGATATTAGAAAACTACACCAGAGTATAGGGTTTCATTATTTTATAATCCTTGTATAATGTTTGATCTATTATGTGTTAATTGAAATAGAGTAGATACATGTCTGAATTATAAACAACACATAAGTGAACCGTTTTAAAACATTAGGGTGAGGTCTTTGTCTGAATGCCTGTGATTCAGCYGTAGGTCAG